CGACACCAACCCCGTCACAGCCGATCTCGAAGCTACGCCAAGTACGTCGGGCTTCGATGGAAACCGGATTGACACCACGTACTACACTGCGGAAGAGGAGTCCGAAGCTTTGAAAGAAGCTGAAGAAAAAAAGCGCCATTTGGCGTCGCAGTCTGCGAGTCAGCGGAAGTTCGACCTGCTCAACGTCGATTCGGAGAGAACTGAAGTTGACGGCGGAACGGAGTTCATCATTGTGAGCATGCAAGTACTGAACGATTTTTTTTCGCGTACGAACTGCAAGGGGTGTGGTGCAAACACTGTGACCCTTGAGAAACGCGGGTCCGACTACGGCTTGGCGCACAGACTGGTACTAGTGTGCTCAACGTGTGAGGTGCGTGAGCAGTGCTTTTCATCGCCAAGGGTGGCCGGCGCCAACAAGATCACACCTTTCGAGGTGAACATAAGGGCGATGCAGGCAATGCAAAGCATCGGGAAGGGGTCGGCTGCCCTCACCGACTTTTGGGCGTGCATGAATGTGTCTCACCGGGGCCTCCATCACAAAACTTTCAATGGCCATATGGACAAAATGTTGCAAGCTGCTGAGGCAGCTGCTGCAGCCAGTGAAAATGAAAGTGCTGCAGTAATCAGGAGTCTTTACAAAGACTTCCTGAACCCTCCAGGTAACATTGATGTTATCTTCGACGGGACCTGGAAAACTCGGGGCCATGACTCGCACATCGGTGTGGGATGCATAATTGAACTCTACACCGGCCTCGTGATTGACCACGAGGTGGTATCGAACTTTTGCTTGGGGTGCACGGTGGGGCCAAAGCCTGACAAGGAGAACTTTGAGGAGTGGCAAGAGAGGCACAAGTGCCAGAAGAACAGCGACTGTAAGGCAGGCCGGATGGAAGTTGAAGAAGCCCTAGCCATGTTTCGTCGGTCCCTCGCCAAGCACGAGCTGAGGTACACGACCATCCTGTCAGACGGTGACAGCCGTACCTTTCATGCCCTGACGGAGGAGGAAGTGTATGGCTATGTGACCGTGCAGAAGAAAGACTGCCTAAATCATGTACAAAAAAGGATGGGGACAGCTTTGCGCACTCTTGTGGAGAAAAAGAAGGCCCAAGGGAATCCCCTTGGAGGAAGAGGTCGGCTAACACAAGACAAAATGAAAAAAATAACCAACTATTATGGCTATGCCCTCAGAGGTCACAAACACGACGTGCCAGGAATGAAGAGGGCGGTGCAGGCTACGCTTCTGCACATGACCTCAACAGATTCTGCACCTGACCACAGCCTGTGCCCACAGGGTGCAGAGTCCTGGTGTGGCTTCAACCGCGCCCTCTCCGAGGGCAAAAAGCCACCTGCGCACAGGAACAGCCTGCCGACTGATGTCCGTGTGGCTTTGGAGCCAATATTTGCCCGGCTGAGCGACGAATCCTTACTGCAGCGCTGCAGTGACGGAAAGACTCAGAATGCAAGCGAGTCTTTACATTCTGTGATTTGGAGCCTTTCACCGAAGACTCAGCATGCTTCCCTGTTCAGCGTGCGGAGGGCAGTGGCAGAGGCAGTTTCCCGGTACAATCAAGGCGTGATGAAGACGAACAAGATTGTCACAGAGAGTCTTGGCTTCGCTCCTGGACATTGCCTTACCCGCAGGAGTCACGAGAAGGACCAACATCGGCTTCACAGGGCCAACAAGGTCCACTCAGAGAGTGAGAAGACTGTGAGGAGACTGGCCAAGAGGCACACAAGGGACAAAGACCAGGACTACAGCCCTGGACTGCTTTGAGATCTCATAAGGTGTTCGTGAACTTCGGGTGCCTGTATCTCTGTTCGTGTTTTCTTGAATATAACCACCACCTTACGGGCTTTTTCTCAGGTTTGCCTTGGGCGGTCAAAACAATTTTGGTATCATTTGATTCAGGATGGATAGAACTGTGCAGTGATGCTATTTTCCATTTATTATATGTTATGTAATGAACACAATTAATTATTTCTTGAAATTAATAGCAGGCCGATTTTGCAGCTTCTGAACATACATGTTTTTATACATATGTCACCACTAATGTTGGTCTAAAATAGCATCACCGCACAAAGCACACCTTGGTGAACACATTTCTATAAATATTTCTGAAACTTTATGAAAACTTTTGCACTAATTACCCGTAACAAAGGGCCCAATTACATTTGACAAATTTGTTATAATTCAAGTTCCACTAGAGCTATCCGAAATCTAATTACATATTTGAAATCAGCAAGAAAACCCATGCTTACATGGTGAATATGATGAAGATCCTAGCATAAATAAAAAAAATGGCTCAAGAACCCACATGTCCCCTTAAGTAGTATCTCTCTGTCTGTCAAATATACTTTTATTCAGCAGTTCACCTAATAGTTAGTTAACTAAGTTCATATTTCAACCCGAAGAATATACTAATATCGCTTTAGTGGGACCCCCCTCACCCAATACTATGTAATATAATACATAATCCGCATATTCGTCAAAATGACTTCTCGATTGCTACTAAAACCTGAATTGAAATACGAGTATCAGCTACTTAGTGAAGCGCCAGTGAGTTGACATGCTCCTTGGCTCAAGAAGCGCTTGCTTAATTTTCGTAATTTTCCTGCAGCCTGTGTTCTTGACCGAGCACACGACTGGAGCTGTTTCTTGAAACGCGGACAGGCACGAAAGCTCAATTTCGCGGACAGATAAGTCGCATGGTTGAGGCATGCGAGTTAGCTAAAAATTACTCTCGATGGAACAATTTTGTAGCCCTCGCTCCTATCCTTAGTTGATCAAAACTAATTAGAGTCTATTACCGTTTCTCCGGAGCCTATAGTTTCGGTTTTGATCGAAGTTTCCGAAACGAAAGTTTGACATGAAAAGAACAAAAAACACCGGCAAAACAAAACTATGCTCGGCAAGTTTATGCGCACCGGCTACACTTAACTGTCTCAGTTCAAATATCCATAAAATTGGGCATTCAACAAAAGAAAATTTGTTAAATTGAATGCGTTACCCATTTAGGCGGCGCGGCCGAGCCGACGCGACCTGGACTCAGCTGCCATGTTTGTTTGGTGGTGGCGCCCCCTATAGGTCGCTGGAGTCGCGAATACTGACGAACAACGAGCTTGAGCGTGAACTTGGTGCCGTGCGTGCTTCTTTGTTTGCTTCGTGTTCCGTGTTGGCGTCGCTGGTCGGTGGAGTCGCTCTTGCGTGAAAATCTAACTTCACTCGAGCACCGGTTCGGTGCATAATCGCCATTCAACGATGGAGAGTCCTGCACTGCCGGCACCTCGATGGTGAAGACAAAGGCAATCTCTTTGAAACAAAAGCGTGCCATCCTCGACGAAGTGCGCCTAAATGTAAAGAATGGCGTCCAATGCCGGCGTCTTACCGTTGCAGCTGTCGACACAGACACTGCTCACAGGATCTGTTCTTGATCGGAGCTTCTTGCAGTTGGCGAGAAGTGGCTCCAATCTAGCAGAGAGCTTGTGCAGCGAAGCCTCGACAGCTTTCTGCAGGCACGATAGACATGTGCCCGTTACTGCCCGTGTTTTTTTTTTCCGTTTAACTTTTATGAGTTCAGATATAACGAAAAAGTGGATATAGTGAAGTGATTTCTGATTCCCTTTGACTTCGTTATAACCAGTCTCGACAGTACACCTGATATAGAGAATGGTGAACTCTGCCTTCCTTAACTCTTTGATGTCGAATTAAAGTTGCATTGATATCATTTTAATATTCTTGTAAGTGTTCTAAAGCCATATCAGGAACAATCATCTATCACAAATGTCTCCAACAACACTATGTATCGTTGAATGCTTTAAAGTTTTTGTAAAGCTATTTTTCTGGTCCTAGCCAAATAAAGTGAAGGGTTTATTGTAATCTTCCACAAAGATAAACTTAGGCAATGATTGTGCAGTTCTAAATTTTCAGCATGCAGTGTTGTAGGAGTGAAGAGTTGAGATATAAGTTCCCAGTTTTGGAAGAAAATGGTGTTTTAGCAGATGGAGAGTGATAGAAAGATGGAATTTTAAAATGTCCCAAACACACAGTATAATGTGTGACACAGTTAGACAACATAATTTAAATTCTAACAAAAAATAAAAGGGAAAAATTTGTCATATGGTTGTTTGTGCTAACTGTGTCTCCTACTCTATACACCTCTTGGCATAGAATTACACCCCCCAGGCTGAAACAACCCGTTTGTTTGGTCTACTAAATTAGTGGCAGAGCAAAATGAGCCAACCTTTTAAACCCTTCTTAGACTTCCTTCTTAAAAAAGACACTGACACCCCCAAAAATATTTTTTTTTTGCCAGGAAATTTTTTTTATGGTGTTGGAAGACTACCCAATCAATATTTGGCTACGGTGTCACACATATTTTTAATAAAGTAAAAAAAAAACACAATAGCTCGACACTGAAGCCGAAACTGAACTGAGGGCAAAGAAGAAATATAGAGGAGGAGAGAGTTGCCGCAAATCACATTGTCGTGCAACTTTTTTTTTTAATTTTTTTTTTCAATCGATGTACAATTTGCAGTTTCTAGTAGCCACAAAGAAATGGGTATTATATTTTTTACTATTTTTAATATTGAGACTGCGCCTTTTACGACCTACAACTTGTTTGTTTGGTGGTTGTGTCTAAACCGTAGAGAACAACACATCACCACGGAGAAGAGAGTGAGTGCGACTCAAACCGGCCAGTTATCGATCAGCGGTTTTCGGGCAGAAAGAAAACAAATTTCAAGCCGCAAATTGTGTTCTGGCTAGTTGGGCTCTGATATGCCATGTACAAATAAAAACCTTGGCGAGCTTAAATATCCTGGCAGTGTCCTTTTAGGGTTTATGAAGAAGCTAAAGTATCTTAAGCAACCTCTTCACATTCCACTGCAAGGGGACACAAAGTGTGGGCATGAACCACAAAATACTTGCTTTGCTGCTGGATTGTTGTGTCACTGACTCAAGAGCATTTGTCAATGAATGAACGCAATGTTCCGGCGAACAGATGTATCAAGCTACCCGGGCAAAGGAGGTGCTCCGGGTATACTTCCTGATGTACGAGGACTCCGTGGACGAGCAGCGCTACCTGACCGCCTTGCGCAGGGAGAAGGATGCCTTTGAGTTTCTCATCAGGGAGAAAAACGTGAGTGAGAAAGATTCAAAATGACGCAAGTTAAATGAACTACGAATTACGAAACAACCCTTTTATGTCGTCCGGCTAGCACCCATTTTTAAAAATGGTTGCTTTCAGAGCGTTCGTCAGAGTGAGGTACCGCAGTCGCCGATGACTTAAAGGGGTAGTGCAACGATTGAAATGTTGAAAGAATTTGCAGTTTGTATTTTTTATATTGTTTATTTAGGCACAAGTGGCAAAAAATGCGTTACCTTGCCCCGAAAAACTGCTATTCCGCCGCATAATTGCAAAGAAAAGGCTCGAGGTACACCTAAGCACTTCTTATGAGTAGAGCCCTGCATATCCGCGGATTATCTGTGGATATCCGCAGATATCCGCAGTAAACTGGTGGATGCGGAAAAAAATTAGACGGATTTTGGTGGATTGCAGACCGGATGCGGATGTCAGGGGCTGCGGATGCAGATATCTGCGGATCTGGATCTAAATTTTTGCACGGTGGCATTCAGTTCGTCGACTGACGTTTCATCTACACATCGTTTTGTCGACGTGCGACGTTTAATCTTTATGCTTCCCGTGTTCATTTCATAGAAAAACCTGAGACGTTTCGTCGCACACAACCCTGCTGTTTTTGTAACAAACTTTTTGCATCTCGCCTGGATTACAGGGGGGAGGGGGACATGGTTTGGTTAAGCACGCCTTAGTGAATCGCGCGCTAGCTTTTAGCGCTTAGTGAAGAAATACGTTGTCGACAAAACGTCGCAGGGGCATGTGCCTCCAAAACATACAGCGTCGACGAACCGTGTGTCCATGAAATGTATATCCGTGAAAAGTTGTCCACGAGACGTATTTCCACAAAACACGTTTCGAAGAAACAATAGGGATCCTGAGAGAGATCTGATTCTTACCGAAGATCGCTTCAGGTAGTGCATTTCATCTCGTCAAAAGTGCTATCTATAGAAAAAGTAAAAGTAGAGAATGCAGGGCATCAATCGCCCCGAGAATGCTAGTTCTTTGGCAGGGAAAGAGCGGAAAACTTTTTCCAGGCAAAGAAAACCTCAAACGAACAAGTCACAAGAAAGTAGAAGAAACCTCCACCTCTTCACAGAGAGTGGTGTGGTCATGATACCAAAAACAAAAGAAGTGCTTCGACAGCGAGCGCGACCCTGTAACGCCACGGTTTGCAAAGTTTCAGAATCAGCGGCGCACGCACATAGGCAGCCCTTAAATTGCCTGTTTCTTTTTTGTATGCTTAGAGTTCTAGCCAAGAAAGTCTGGTAGCTCATATTCGTCCGGTTAAGCCTCATAGATCTCCCTGGCTCTCGGGTTGTGGTGTTGCTTGAGGATTCTGGTTTTAACAAACCCAGGGATGCATTTGCAGTCTTGGATATATAAGGTGAGGTGTCCCGCCGGAGATGATTTTAGTGAAAGGGCGTGTTCACATTGTCTAATGTTGACACATTGGCCAGATTGACCCACATACACTTTTCCAGAGGAGAGCGGCATCTCATAAACGACCCCTGTACTGCAGGTGACACACTTGTGCGTGTGCTGAATCCTGCATTGGTCTTGTAGATGCCTCTCAGAATTGACCTTGGGACACAGCCTCTTGAGTTTTTCCGAGGCAGATATAGCTACATTGACTCTGAACCTGGAGGCTACCCTCTTCAAGTTGTGTGTTATTCTGTGGATGTAGGGAACAACAGCAGGCCAGTTTTTCCAAACAGGTCGTTCTTGAGCTCTGTTGGAAGCTGCCAAACTTTCAGCAACATCAAACACTATAGAACTGGGATACCCAGAGTCAACTAGCCTTTGCACTTGTGCCTCGAAGCTTCTCTGTGCTGAGTGTTCACAAGATTTCTTCAGGGATGTGTTCAGGCAGCTTTTTACCATCCCTCTTTTGAATGACTTATAATGGGCTGAGTCATATGATAGAAGCCTTTTTTTGGGCTGTGGGTTATACATCCAACAGGTGGAATTGCTTTGAAATAGAAGCTGCAAATCTAGAAATTGGAGCATGCTGTTTTTTAGCAACTCGTCTGTAAACTTCAATCCTTGAGCCCTTTCGAGAAATGTACTGCATATATCATTGATCTCCTGCGTTTCACCTTGCCCAGGCTGATCGTTCAACAGAACTAGATAACCATCTACATATCTAAAGGCACGTGAAACCTTGCTGTTTGAGAGGTTCATGGCAATGTTCCAGTCACATTGGAAAAAAAAAAAAAAAATGTTGCATAAAACGGGAGCTACACAGGATCCTGTGCAAGTTCCCTTTTCTGTTTGTAAGCATTCCTGTTGAATGTGACCATTGCGCAAGCAAGGTAGAACCTCAGGAGTTCTATGAAAGACTCCACCGGTAGGTGGAGTCTTTTATAGAAGTTTTTCTAGTCTAAAAAGGCCAATTGATAGTACAGTCTAAGCTCATTACAACAGGCCTTGTTACAACAGGCATTTGGATAGTATAACATACCGATTTGTGAAGTTCGGTTGGTTTTCCTCTACGTACCATTAACTCAACTTCATATCTGTATACAACATACTCTTCTTGCAACAGACCAAAATCTTGTTCAAAATCAAGGTCTGTTATAATGAGCTTAGACTGTAGTGCTTTGTCCTGTCCTGTTCTTCTACTTGTCCGTGTCTTTTGCGCTCTTGTCCTCTCTGATGTGAGGTGTGATATCTGTGTTTTACCAATATAAGCATTCCATTGTTGAAAAGCACACGTGTTACAGAGGCTAACTCTCCGATGAACGGAAAATAGGCAATGTCAGTTAAAGTGCGCTAAATTTCAGAAGAAATAGCCGTGTGTGTGGGGCACACTTCGTATATTCTGAATTTTTCTTTTATTTGTCGTTCAATTTGACATGGCCGTGGAAGTTTCAACGTTTACCTATATGCCTTCCGCTCGCACATTGTAGTTTCAAGAAATTGAGTTCTAAAATATTTTCCCCACATTATGCCAACCTGTTTCTTTTTTAAAGAAAAACTAATTGGCCAGATTTTGATGTGTCATATTGCGCTATATGTAAATTAGTTAGGAAAATAAAATCATTTGCATGGATCCTTTGAAAATTCCTACTTTTCCCGTTGTCAGGAAAGAGTTCAATTTGAGCAATTTTCGGGGGTTTACTTTTTTCCACATACTATTCATAATTTGTCAGGACTCACATTGACAAATAGAAAAGACACGGCCATGGGAATTCTTCATTGTCTCCAACCTCTTCATTTCTCTGCTTCATAATGCACTTTAAAGGCTCTATGCTAGTGCTATACTCTGTTCCACCTTACGATGTACCGCAGGAAAGGCTACAAGCGCGAGCTCCTTGCTCTAGGGCACATCTCGGCGGCCCAAGCTCTCGTGCATTAAGGGCAACTGCCAACGCTATGAGCTTGCGCTTCTAGCCTTCTCTGTGGTACAACATAAGGTGAAATGGAGTATAGTACCCAGGTGTCGAAATCGTCGCCTGCACTAGAGACGCAAGTGGGCATAGGCTGCACGCCGTTCCAAAGTTCGTTCTGATTCGTCCTTCTCTAACCGGTAGCGCTGGGATGGTGACGCCTTTGCAGGTAATGGTCGTACCAGAAGAACAAGACGGTAAGGGGGACTACCACCCAGACCTCGTGGATGAGCTGAGTCTCTCCAACGAAACGGTCAGCTCTCGAAAAGCGGGGGGAGCTCCCGTCAAGCCGTCAGGATCCCGGAAGGTAGATGATGTTTCTTCCACCGTGACAGTAAACTTCTTCGTCTATGCATTAGTCGAAATTTTTATTTTTGTGCTATCAAGCAAACGACATAGGTGCTAATGTGCGGGTATTCAGAGTCGGCCAACTCGGTCTCTCGTAGGTCATCGTGGATCTCCGTGAGTTTCGCAGCGACCTGCCGTCCCTGATCCATCGACGTGGGATCAGCGTCCAGCCTGTTACAATAGAGGTGGGTTCGGGTTTTGTCACAAGAACCACCATTTTTGTCTCACCTTTATGGTGCAATTTTGGGGCAGGGGCACTATGAAAGCTGTGTTTCTTGGTGACTTATTCATGTTACAACCTCAAGAGAGGTAAGCAGCACAGCAAAACAAGTTAAGAAAAGGTGTCTCAAAATACTTTGTTATGCGTGCGAACGAATTCCCGCAAAACCAGTTAGCTTCAACCTTCCCTTGCTTCCTCCATTCTTTGTTTGTGATTGGAGTCCAAGACTCCGAGTTTGTCGCAGACAGTCCTAAGCCATGTGCTGCGCTGCCGTTTTGCAATGTTGTTGGTCTGAATATCACCTCAACACCTCCTAGCAATCCTGCAAGAAGTCGACAGCAGTGGCTTTTAAACATGCTTTTGCGGAATTATTGAATGCGCTAGAAAAGCATATGTTTCGAAACTAGGAGCATCGGCTAGCTCACTGTCAATGGTGGATTCAAAGGAATGCGCTGGATGTCCTGACCCCCCCCCCCCGTCCCCCTTGGATTCTGCATGTGTAAAATGTTTGGCAACTTGGCGTGTTGCGAAATTCGCAAGATTGTTTAAGGAACATTTAGACAGAACTTTGTCGTAATATTTGACGTGTGTTCTTCTTTGTTGATACTAAAGAAGACTGCATTGATTTTTGAAACACCTAAATGACATGGAGTTGGTCCTTAAACATATGATACGCTGACCAACACCTGACCACCCTCCCCCGCCCCTGGAAATACCTGCGTCCACCCCTGCTCGCGGTTGTTGCCTTTGCTGTCCTGTCGGCTGGAAGGCGCCTGGAATCAAGTCGTAGTGCCAACGATTGCAAATTGTTTCTGCCGGGTAGAGGAGAAAATGCCGGTGTGGCCCAGTATGACCATCTGCGTTGCATGTTACCATAGCACTCCATGTCACATGCCTCACCTGCCGATGCGTCTGCATATAATACTTCATTAGCTCTCCATTAGTCTATTCCAATGAGTAGCGCAAGTTCGGCTGCTTCTTGCACAAGGCTTGCGATGATATCACAATGCCGAGCTCTTATTGGCTGATTGAAAAAAATGGTGGGTAGACCTTAAGACATCTAGCATTGAGGTCTACCTACTTTTTATCCAATCAAAGCCAATCGGAGCTCGGCGTTGTTCTGATGTCACTGCAACTCCTTCGCAAAAAGCAGACGACTTGCTCTTCATATAGAGTTGCCAGTAAAGAGAAATGGTGCACAAAGTTTCTTACATTATACACAACTCATATTTTGTAATAATAATAATTTGTTTTGCGTTACTAGGGTCTCAGACCAGTTCTCACGTCAATAATCTAAGTTAAAAAAAAATTATAAGTGAATATTTAGATTTTTTAAGTAGGATGTGTAGGGGCAAAAATATCCTGTATGTAGCATGTTAGCATAAATTAAGAGAAGCATGTTACTTTATTCCAAACTTTATCCTTTTTATGTGATGGCTGGCAGGTTTTGCACTTCTTTTTTCTTTCCATAAACTTCTAAAATGGGAACTCGGAATGCCGTAACGCAAAATACTGGCATCCGGCGATCGGTATTTGTGTTTAGAATAGTTTTGTACAGACCACCGTGGTAGAGACAAGTCCGGCTGGTTTTGCATTTAACCACAAATTAGCACAGAGGTAGAATGTTGAGCTCACAATCGTGGGGTCGCGGGTTCGATTCCCATTAGGTCATGTTTAGAATTTCATTCTTTCTTTTCAGTTTACCACTTTTTTGTACAGATTATACTCAGAAGCACGTGCCACACATTTCGTAACGGTTTCTGTGGCGTTCTGTCACGTTTTCCTCAAGGATCCCAACCCTTGAACACAATCTGCGTTAAAGGAGTTAGAATTGCATTGTAGCGTCCCTTTAACAAATAGAATATTGTGGAACTCGAAACACTTTTTCCAGACCAAGCATACTAGTGAGCTTGGGGATTTGTCCCATCTGCGTCTTTGCAGGTGGGCGACTACATCCTGACTCCTGACATCTGCGTCGAGCGGAAGAGCCTGAACGACCTCATCGGATCGCTGAACAGTGGGCGCCTGTACAACCAGGCGCAGTCCATGTGCCGCTACTACAAGCGACCTGTGCTGCTGATCGAGTTCAGCCAGAACCAGCCCTTCTGTCTGCAGGTTAGTTGCAGTAGACATCTGTCCCAAATCACATTACTGGTCCAGTGTATACAATCTATGACGTATTGATGCGGGTGTCGTAGTGCGTCCAGATTCGAGTACTTCCAATGGCTCGATCGGGGTTATATGGTGTGTGATTGCATGCAAGAAGGAGAATAAAACGTCAATCGTCTGCAGGTGTCTCTGAGCATGGCTCAGCCTTTCCGCCTGCTAGCCTCTTTGCAACGTGGCAAGGGAAGCATGTGCATGAGCAACAAATCTGCACAAGAGATGTCTGCCATTAAATTGCAAATGCTCTCCATGGTTTGAGTTGCTCCCTCTCTTAAGTCTAGGCTCTCTAGGGACCCACCTTACAGCCAGTGTTGCCTCCTGCATGCTCTGCTAAGCTTGATGCGAGTGAGATACACGCTTGTTTCATTGTTGTCCACCTCTGTGCCGTCCGTAAGTGGAAGGGAGACCAACGTTTGCTTTGTGACCAAGCCACAATTTTTTTTTTTTTTTTACAAACAACGCATTAGTAGATTAGAAATGCCTTATTGCATTTTATACGAAACATTAGGTTTCTTTTTGCTATGCAATTCCAGGTCAATTCAAATGGGAATTTGAAAGGTGGGGTTGCAAATGTTCTGTTAATGGCTGATCATGTGGCTGAGTGTAAAACAACTTCTGGCATCATCAAAACAAAAAACATGTTTCTAAACTTTTTCCTTACAATGGGAAAACTGCCCATTTTTGGAGGGTTTTTGTATTCTTGTTTTTCCCGAAAAACATTTGCTTCTAACATTTCTTGCAGTATATCAAAATGTAGCACATTAAATGCTCTTTTTAATTATAGAAGCATAAAATATAGTCAAACCTATTATATCGAACTTGGTCAATTCAAACTATTCCTTGTATTGAACTATTTCTGAACACACCAGTAGCTGCAATGAAAGTGCATAGTGAAAAATGTGGTTATATCGAAAGGAAGTTGCTGCATCTCCCGACGGATTGAACTGCCAAGAGTGCCGTTTTGCTCTGCAATCTAGCTTTTTTTCTTCCGGGCAGTCGCGTCGACTGCCCAGAAGAAAACAAGATTCTTTTTTGCGGAGGGAGGGGGGGAGGGTGAGCCAATGAGACTTTGAAAAACGAAGAAGCAGCCACTGAATAGCCGCGTGGTGCGTCCCTCATAATGTACTATGCCGAGAGCATGTGCTCCGTGCTCCCGGCTGAGTTCGGCGCTACTGCGCAAATATAGAAGGCAACGGCCTCAGCATTTCGGAGTCCGTCGATAGCATGGAAAAATGTGTTATCGCAAATGCAATGAAGTAGAAAAAACAGCAAAGATGCAAGTCTATTTCATTGTGTAATATGTCAGCTGAAGGTGATTTTTTGAGAGTAAAAATCTTTTCTGGATGTGTTGTGCTTGTTTGTTGTAAAATTCATTAGAACTTTCATATTGAATTACCTGCTATATCGAACTGGTAGATGTTTTTTTGGTGGTTCATTATAAGCGGGTTTGACTGTTGGGATGTAATAAATTGTGCAAAATTTAATTTCTTAAAGGGTAACTGCAAAGAAAAAAAAGTTTTTTTTAAGCAGCCTAATTGGGTCAAGCATGTCAAGAAACAATTTTTCCGTGAGAGAAAAAAAATTTTACAGCAATATTTATTGCGTGAGACCGATTTTAGTTTGCGGCTATTTCGTCCGTTTTGAATCGCGCGCCACGAAGTTGGTATTCCGTGACGTTGAATACCAATCGGCTGCTATACTTCTCATTGGCTAAGAGTTTGATTGACAGCTTAGATCTTGGTTGTTAAACCTTTGTTATATGTTGCAATTTTCTTTTGAAAGGCATATTTTTACGTTTAAAGAATAATCCATGTGATGAGAGTTATTAATCTTTACAAAATGTTTACAAGACGGGCACTTCCGTTTGGATCCATACCTTAACAAACAAAAGCTTCGTTTTTTCATGGCCGCCGAAGTCTCTGCTCCTGCCTGTCTCGCCTACCTCGACTAATCGTTTCGCCGAAACGACAAGTGTTTCGTGCTGACCCAGGTGCTTGAGTGAGACTTCTTGAAGTGAAGTAGTGTGTTTAGCAGCTGTCGCAGGTGTTAGTGATAGGAAGCAACGTGGGGTTTTGACTTTCATAGCGCGGTTCTTTCGTTTTCCTCTTTGCTGGCTTAGCGTGCTTTTTTGTTTGTTTGCTTGCGCGTGCAAATACCGACTTTTCGGAGATGTCAGATGAGTGATCCCGACAGCGAGCCTTCCAGCAGGCATTTCGCCCCGAAAGGAATGCTATTGGCTGGAGGCAATCGGGCATTCGCGTAGCGACAAACGTGTCTAGTTACGTTCTCGTCATATCGCTCTGGAGGCTGTCGAGATTCGCTCTGTGTGCACCTAACGTCTACGACTAGACACAAAATAAAAAAGCACTATGTTCACTACGTAAAAAGTGGTCTCCGTTCATGCATCTGTAAGGCAGGTACGAAATCGTGCCCAAATTTATTCACACCGCACGATGCAACACGTCGCTGTGCAAACGCAGTCCAACACGAAGCATAAAAACGGCAGATTTAGGACAACAATTCGGAGTCCATTGTTCAATTAAAACAACGTAATTTTGTTGAAAACGCCCGCAGCTTTTTACTCACGGTATACGTCGGGAAACTTCCACATTTTGAAACAGAACGAGGCAGATTTACTTTTAAAAACGCTCGCTGCGTCCTCCCGGACCAGTTTGAATGGATCAGCTGACGACGACGGGACTTGACTGGTTGAATGTCAACCCCACAACAACCAATTTGCGCTCCGTGTTAGCACCGCATTACACACACCACGAACGTTTCAGCTCTTTGTCGCATCGCCGTGTTGCACCAAACAGAACGAGATCGCCGAAACCAACACAGCGCTGTTGTGAACCTTGGCTTGTGGTTGCGCACTTGTGGATTCTGTGATTCCCTTCGCTTTCAAAGCACGCACGACAATTACGAATGATACTTTCAGTCATCCGGGAACATCACAGGGGCACTTCTCCGGTCACGTCTTTGCTACATGTGCTCGCAAACCGCGTCAAACCAAAACATGGATGGATGGATGAACAATACCGCCACCGTGCGTTGTTGCCAGATCTTACCGGAAGTCGAGACGCTGCGTTGTTCAACTCTGCAACGCAAGGAGAGTGAGGGGCGGGAGTTTCGAATGTGGAGAGGTCCTGACTGCGACTAAATTACGTCCTGTGGATTAAATATTGATAAAAAAAATATTTTTTTTCGCGGAACATTTGTTTTGTGACATGCTTGTCCCAATTAGGCTGTTTAAAAAAATACTTTTTTTCTTTGCAGTTACCCTTTAAGACTAAAGGCCCGTTCACACACTTGCGTCCGTAGCGACCGGAACGACTGGAACAACCGAAACGATGGTTGCTAGGGTCTGCAACCGTCAGTTGCCATAGCGACGGAAGGACGCACGCACGTGTCGTTCACGACGCAAGGAGTTGGAGCGAGCCCAACTTTTTCCGATGCGTTGGAAACAACCGAAGTGACCGCAAAGACAGACCAATCACAGGACAAGGAGAATGGGTCGCGCGCGTTGCATGCCGGTCGCGGGCCGGCTCCTTCTGTCTGCAAACATGGCGTCGGTGGTGATCGTCGTCATGGACGGCGGGGCGAAAGCCCATCGTTCCACGTAAAAGCGCTAGCCTTGACTGTGAATTTTCGTCGTCTATCGCTATGATAACCCAGCACGCATTAGAAGGGAAGATCCACCTACTCGTGCGGCGATGTCGTGGTTGCACTCTCAAGACAGCAGAAACGCCCGTGCCGTCGTGTTTGTTTACTTCGACTACAGTGGTGCTTTCTAGGCATTTGTGTCCTCGAACATCGCCCGGATTTCTGATTTGGCGCATTTCATGTGTGTGCTCAAGTTCAAGATATTACTGACTCGTACCGTATAAAGGATGCGAATTTTCACGTGTTTTCATCACCGGAGAAAAGTGACTAGTGTTAGCTATCCTGAACGCTCGCAACGTCTACCTGATCACGAAATCGTATTTCAACGTTGCTATATCGCTGATAAGATTACATCGTAGACGTCTTTTATAATCATATTTCTACGTTGCCATAGAAGGCCACATAAAAAGACTTCAGTCACGTGGCAGGATTTGAACTCACCACCTTGAGACTGTGAGCCAAGTGCGTGGCCAACTGAGCCATCCAGGATCGGGTTTAGGAGCATGCAAAAACAAAGTCATACGCAGGGCGCGCGAACGCGCGTCACATGCCTCGTAGCCTTTGCTGTCATGCTGCGCCAACTGACTCCATATCACATGAGCGAATGACGTTTTAGCGAACAACGGGGGCGCGCGTTAACCCATCCGCCGAGCTGCGCTTACGCCGCTTCGCAACGACAGTCTGCGTCGGCTCATTACAAAATTGTGAACCCATTTGGCCCACCCGAAAACGCCGCTTCGAGGCGTCCGATTATTCGCTAAAGTGTCATTTGGTGAAACGTGGGCGTTCGCTAAAACGTCATTCGATCAAGTGAGTGACTTCTGCGCCAACTCACGGCACGTATCAGAAATGAGAGCAAATATTCGTTAAGCGCTGCCGTTCAAATGCCTTCTCTTCTTCCCTGGAATGCTTATCACACATCCTGTGCTTGCCCATCCCCCACTTTGCCAGCCCTACTTTGTCAGCATGATCAAGTTCGTATAATTTTTCTTCTAATTTTTTTTTTGTCTTCTGTTAGGCTTCCACCCAGCCCATCTGATTTCATTTTTTATGATCAAGGAATCATTCATCCTTTGTTGGTTTGTGAAAGGAGTCTTTTTCAATGGCACTGAATGCATCATGTCTGTTCCCACGCATGTTTGGCATATGCATGTTAATTGACCAGATATGGAAGAAATCAGCCTCATAAACGCTTTCTTTGTTGCTAACACTAGCGTGGACAATTTGTTTTATGCTTTATACTCAAAAGGAAGTTTACCTGTTCTTGGAAGCGAATAAAGAAATTGTTTGGTGGTCCCTTTAAAGTAGCTGTGCAACGATTTTAACGTTGAAAGAATTGTCATTTTCTGCTTTTGATATTGTTCACTGTGTCACAAATGGCAGAAAACACATCTCCTTTCTTCGAAATGTTGCGATTCCGCCGCGTAATAGTGAGGCAAAACTTAGAATATTTCCCGACCTGCAGCCACGAGCGGCGGCCATGAGAAACAAGCGGCGTGACGTCACTTGGGTAGTTGTAAAAAAAATAGCAAGTTGTGCGAATACCTGCTCGATAAAAGGTAACTTTTCTATAAACCTTGTTGTTCCAACATATATATATAAATGCGTCAAAACCCTGGTATCATCGAGAAAACTTTTATTATACGGAGTTTTAGTGGCACCATCTATCCTAGGTCCACAAAACCGCGAATAGCCGCCAGAAGCCGGAGGGGGAGAGGGACAGCGCCGGACGGGTATGGCCGGACCCGGATGAGACTTTCCTCCTTTCACCGTATATTTTGCGGGGCACCCGCCAGCACGTGGTCACGCGGTCGCGAGCGGATGAGTTCTCGCTGCTCGCTGATGGCTCTAAAGAGAGAACTTTTCCGGAACCCCGCGCCTACTCAAGTGACGTCACTGCGCACGTGACCCGGAAGACGATGTATGAGTTGAGAGGCGGCAAAAACCTCTATCTTTTTCATTTTTTAAAATAAAAACTAGGGTATCCAGGCAAAATCTGTTTTCTGTAGTTCACTGCAGAAGTGTCAGGCATCAACTTCCACAAATATTTAAGCAAAGCCCTGAAATTGTTGCACAGCTCCTTTAAGTACTAGGTGGCCTTTTCTCCATCCTAAAGCTGTGTTAAGATTGATGCATTTTTTTTCGTTTGCAGGGAAAGTATGGCATCTCGAGCGACATCTCATCCCAGAGTTTTGTGTCAAAGCTGATTCTGCTCACGATGCATTTCCCGCGGCTCCGCATTTTGTGGTGCCAGACGCCGTACGCCACCGCTGAGATTTTTGATATAATCAAGGTGAGATCTTTTGCCTCCTTAGAGTGAGATTAAATTGGAGTTTGATGTAGGGATTTTTTTAAAGCTTGTTCCTCTCAAGTCTTCACTATAGTGAAACTCACTCAAGGGTAGTTTGGCAAGCATGGTATGTTGGCCCTTCTTGATGTTTCTTCGTGCACATTTTCTGGAAAAAACAGTTCTGTTTTTTCCAGAAAATGCACATTTTCTGGAAAAATATCTCTATCACACTTTGCTATGGTTAAAGACCAACCTCTCCCCTTACTAATTTGTGGCTCTTTGACGGTAGTGTTTTTCTATTTTCTGAAAAATGGCTGGCTCAAAATTTTGGAAGAAATGTTTTCCGGGGTTGCTTATTGTTTCTGTCTCAAAGGAAGTATACTATGTTAGGAAAGTTCATAAAAGTAAATTTTTAAAAGAATTCTTTGTTTGTTTTGATTTAAGCAGCAAGGTAAAGAGGAGCCAAGCGTTTCTGAAGCACAAGCAGTCACGGAGAAGGAGGAAGCATCTGGCGGGAAACTGTCGAGTAGGATCAACCCTGCTCCCCAGGTGAAGCATAACCTTCCTTTGCCTCTCATTCTTTCGAGGATTTTGCAATAGTGCTGTAAAAAACCGAGCAAGTGCACATCCTAAGGTTGGAGATGATTACGAAAAAAGCGGGGATAGGCAATTTTTAGGCTCGAGCACAGAAAAGCAGAAGAGACTCTTGGAAAAGTTGGTGCTTGTTTGATTTGACAGAACGGGGCAGTGTAGAGGTCTGGCAGAACCCTGAATTTCTAAAGCAGCTGTACCACTCTCGTCAAGCCTGCTCCATGCCGGTGTCATTGTGTCAAGCTTCACTGCTTCGCACTGTTGCATGCGCGTAAAGTTTCGCCGCATTGCAGCCCCTTTACGGAGAGGCAGCTGATGCAAAGGAGCAGCTCGGTTGGCTCCTTGGGCTCAGACATTTGCAGGGGTGGGTGCTTGATGTGTCCTTTGCTTATATTTTATATGTTTCAAAAGTAAGGCGTGGGCTCTTATTGGGCGACACAAGTGCTGCTCGATATTTTATGTTACATACTCTGCCATGTCCCACATTGTCTGTAGTGGAGGCTTTAGAATTCCTGTGTATCCCGACAACAGGTTGGAGAGTCGGGAGGATATGGACAGCTAACCAGTCTTTGGTGACTTTTTACGACTTCGCAGAATCAGTGACAACTTCATTTCAGAATGACACTAAAGTTTGAGTTTGACTTCTTGATAAAGAGAGTGATTTGTGGGTCAATTTGGAAATTTTATATTAGTGTTGCCACCTGAAAAAGTTGATTATTTAGCGAGTTGACGATCTAGAACAATGTAATTTGGGGCTTCAAGAGTCTTATTTGGAGGGAACATTGGTTATTTGGAAAACTGGGAGCATTAGCCAGAACTTAAAGGGAAGCTACGGAGCTTCTTGAAAGAAATAACACAGAAGTGAATTCTAGTGTATTTTTACCCCGTGAACCCGGTTACCCAAACCATTTGCTGCGCAAATATTGTTAAACGCCAGAAAACGCGAAAGACAGTCGCTGTACGTGACATACCCGACGGATCTTTTGGCTGCCCAAGGTTAGGGAGGTGGGGCTTCAGCCCTATTTTGAAATTGCTCTTATGGCTCTCTGGCGCGTCGCATTGAAATACAATTTTGATATCTGTATTCTAAAGGCCAAATGAACGCAATTCAAGCCTTTTTTCTCAAATGCAGAAGTGCCCCATCTTCCCTTTAATTTATTGTCAGAAAACAAAGTATACAAAATGGGAGCATGCATTGCCATCTTCCATCATCTTTTGCATAAGGATTCTTTTGCTAACAAATAGGGAAGTGTGAATTTGTGTGCAAGACGAATGGTTGCCAATGGCACAAATAATATTGAGCGAGCACCAACCAGCCAGCCGGAGCAAACTGCAAAGAGTTATGTGCAGGCACATAATGCCTTGCACAGAAAAGGACCAAACTCAATGGAGGATGGTTCAAAAACCTCGCTACACTTAGTTTTGCTGTAACTTGGTGAAGAGTGAACGCTATGGCCCCCTTGAAAATACAGGCACTGCTTTCCTGCCATGGAAGAAGAAGCCACGAGATATTCTGCGCATGCTTTCACTCGAGAGAAACGCTTCTAGTTTCTACAAAACGCTTGCTTCCAGATATATAGGAGAAAATAACAGGAGCAAGACCCCAACCTTTCTTCACCTTTCTTTTCTTTTTTTCCAGGACTTCCTTCTGCACCTTCCAGGTGTCAACCTGAAAAACCAGGCCCTGTTGACCCGGAAGTTCACAAACTTGGTTGAAATGTTTGCAGCTTCCGAAGAGGAGCTTACCTCCGCCATGGGCAATGCGGTTCAGGCAAAACTTCTCTGGGAAAGCATCCACCGTCCCACGGAGCCCAAACCACAGAAACCTCCGCCGAGGAAGTTCCGCAAGAAGTGACAACCTACGCAGCAAAAGGAAACTGTTCCTTCATTAACGCGAGGACCCGCAAAGTCCGAGCGGCATCATCTTCGTGACGAGTGCTTGTCGGAGAGTGTTCCAAACACCGGGCCGCTGTGTTAAGGATGATCCTTTGGCGGTTTCGAGCAAAGGCTGGTTTACACTTTTGCATTTCAGTGTAGATAAGTGCATTGAGCCCGTCCGCTTACAACGAGGGAACAAACTGGCGCCATCTATCAATTAGCTCTAGAACACTTCCGATCTGCACTTATATTTTCTTATTTTTTACGCGTCATTCTTTCACAGTGGGCAGGACATAATTTTAGTAATGTTATAAGCGATCATTTCTCATAGTGCATAGATTTGATCTTTGCTGAAAAAGCTCCAGTCTGGTTATACATGAATCGGAAGTGTTCCAGAGCCTCTTCTAGCAGACGGCGTCACTCTCTCTGTAAGCGATTACAAACAGTCGCAGCACAGCCGATCGCACTCAAAACGCTAATGTGTGAGCCAGCCTTGACTCTGTGAAGACAGATTATACAGATTTTTAATGGCATCAAGAGGGGAAGCGGGGACATTCAGTTCTGTGGAAAGTTTACGAGAAATTGAGCTGACACGATTGGTTCGGATTGTACATATTGAGGGTGGCAGCCGTCTGGGGCATATCAAAATCATGTTGGTACGATTTGGACTGTATGGTGTATTGGCTGGGCTTTGCTGTTCGCAGTTGTTTTACCGCATTGCAGAGAAGCCCAACCTCTTTCAGCCTACGCTTTTTAGGGAGGTGTTTCTGTGAAACAGGTGCCTTACATAAAGGTGGGAGACTGAAAAAAATTTTTGGCATGTGCTGAGTATTATGCAGTTGGGGTGAACAAAACGTTAACTCTTTTTCATGTTGTTTTTTAAAGAAGTGGTGTATCAAAACAATTGGCTTGTGGAAAGGGTTTTCTGGGACACTAGCTTACAAAGTAAAAAAATTTTGTTCCGCAATAAACAATCTCGGCACAATTCGAAAAACGTGCCGGTATTGTGCATATGCTAATTATTGTGTGGTGCACACCTACTCTGTGCTATACGCATGAATCTTCCTTTTTTGGGTGCGTATCGATTTTGCCTTATATATTTGCACTTCAAAGAAAGAAATATCACTGAATAAAGAAGTACAAAACAAAAAAACAGTATTTATTGAGAAACGGACTGTGGGTTAAGTACACAGGTATAATGATTATGATGTAAGAAAGCTTTAATTTTTTTAGAATAACGTCTTGAAATCAATTTCAATGTGAAGTACCGATTTTGTGTTGAAAAAATGTTCTGCAATGAGTTATTTTTTAGTTTTATTTTAAATAAAAAATTGCAATTAAATAAAAAGCAGTTGGTGTCCAAATTTCAGTTTTAGAAGTAAAAACTATCTAGGTTTCTACTGCCCAAATGACAGAACATAAACCCCCAAAATAATAAACGTTAACATTTTTGCCCCCCGAAATGCTAGGGTTTTTGGATTTAATTTCGCATAGAAAGGTTGGTGTTTACCAAAGCTTAATTTTAGTGGATTCTCAATTGCCCGAAATTAGGAGTTCAATCTGACAGTACTTACGATTCTCAAAAATTCGAAATCTTAAAATTCTTGGACGTGGAGGCATACAGTCATCGTGATTCTCGTTTTCTTACCTTTCTGAAGTTCACGGTACCCCTCCTTCCTTTGATGGTGTATTCGCAATACGGAGTTTTACTCCGAGGAGGGGATGAAGTGTAATCGAGTTTTGAGGTCTCGTGCGCCGGGTCATGAATGTTCGCTAACATATCTATAAGGAGTATTCACTGGGCGCCATATTTGTGGGTGCTGTCTAGAGCGCATGCTCAGAACGAGCCCACATTAATAGCCTGCTAAGACCGGCAACCTTGATGGTGCTAAATGCACGCTCCAAAAGGAATGCGGAAGCTCGCCGTCAGCACGCGCTCAGCAGCAGCGCACACGAATATGGCCGCCAGTGAATACTCCCTATACACCAACTCATGTTTGGATGGATGGATGGATGAATACGGCTGAGCCCTTTGGATCGGGCGGTAGCTTACGCCACCTAGCCATTTTGTTTTACCATTTAAGCTTAGAATATTTAAATGTGAAATCTATATTCACTCCGCAGTGCAAAGAAAGTGAGGCTATGAAACCCCCTTGCCATCAGTGGATAAGAAACTACCTAGTTTTCTCTCGCTTTCTGCCACCATTCACTTAATCTTTGCTTGGTAATCTCTACAGTCTTGAAATCCACTCTCCCTTCGCTGTCTCTAAAACCCAATGACTTTATTAAATCTATGTTGTCTTCGGTAGGCATAGGGTGAAGCCCTTTACAGTAGAGTACCAAGTGCTCAGCCGTCTCGTCCTCCTCTCCACAAGCAGTGCACACTGTTTGTGTGCACACAGTGCACACAAACAAACCGGAGCGCCCCTAGCGGACGCCACCGGCGCCGCGCATGCGCGGTGGATGGTGGGCAAGAAGCCCGCCGTCGCCCATAAACAAAGGCGTCGGTGGGAGTCCCCGTGCTCTTTTTCGCGTTGGAATTGTTGATTCTACGTCCTCCTAACAATGTCCGACTAGTTGAGCGGCTTCAGCAAAACTAACGAGGCAAAACTGTGCACGTCGATACTGAAAACAGCAAGTAGAATCGGGCATTACAAGTCGGTGACGGCCACTGGTAACAATGATCAACACCTTCCTGTATCTGTTTACATTTGGCCTACTCACCCCAACCAACCTTCAAAAGTGTTTTGAGGCCTGCACTTAATTCTTATCGCAATTACCGGGTCAACGTTTGGTTTACGGGCCGCTGTTGTTTAACGAGCTGACGACAAAAAGCAGCCAAGTTTGAAAGAGCTAGCAGACGACAGTTCGAACGGATACGCAATGGAGTGCGGGCAAGAAGCACCGCGCCCCGCGTCAACAAACCATTCGAATGTCACGTTGTCGGCGTCTGTGTGAGTCTGTATACTCTTTTTCGCGTTGGAATTGTCGATTTTACGTCCTCATCGCAATGTCTTACCACTTTAATCGCCTGAGCGAAATTATCAAGGCTCGTTATGCCGCTAAACTTTCCGTAAATAATTTGACGTGCGGCGATTCATTCGCATGAACCCCGCAGAATGGACGCCAGATGAGATTCTTCTAGCTATTTTCGGCCGGGATGTCGCTCGTGCTGCAAAAGTGTAGAAGGTAACGGCGATGATCGACGTCGATACTGAAAATCGGAAGCGGGAACAGACCAAGCGTAACAAGTCGGTGATGGCCACCGGTACCAATGATCAACATCTTGTATCTACTGTTAACACCGAGCCTACTTAAGTCTTTTGAGGCCTGCAATTACTTCTTATTGCAATCACCGGGTCACAGTTTGGTCGACGGGCCGCCTTTGTTTGAACGAGCAGACGACAAAAAGCAGACAAGTTTGAAAGAGCAGACGAAAGTTCGAACGATCAGGCGGCCGTGTGAATTTGAAGACGCACTGAACCCGTGGGTGGTCTGGACAACTTGGCGGTTTTGTCTCGTTCATGTTGTAGCAAAGCAAACACATCTGGCGACCACAAAGTGTTGCCCTCACACGCAATCATAGTTCGACAGCGTCTGGTTTGCCCCTTTCACAGCTACTTTCCACGTCCTCGGACGAACGGAGGGGGCAAAAACACATGAAAACTGATCTTCAAACCTTCCCAGACTCTCTTGGTACAGCCCCCTTCGCAGCATTTTGACGAGAAGGCAGGTTTTTTGTCTCGTATCTCGTCTCTTTGGAACACAGGAATGTATGTCTGGCACGGCGACTTCTGCCCACCGCCCCAGACCGGAAGTGCGTCCGGCGCACCACCACCGCGGCGTGACGTAGGAGAGTTGAGTTGGTGTATAGGGAGTATTCATAGGGAGTATTCAAATTCGCACACACAGCCTTAGCTGTGTGTGCGAATTTTGAGCGCGTGCTGATGGCGAGCTTCCACAGTTCTTTTGCAACGTGCATTCCGCACCATCAAGAGTGCCGGTCTTAGCAGCCTATTGATGTGAGCTCGTTCTGAGCATGCGCTCTAAACAGCACCCGTAAATATGGCGTCCAGTGAATACTCCTATACATGCCCTGCAAGTGACGTCACGCTAGGGAAGGACGGGGACCCTCACCATACTGGTGGTTGACTTGACACCGCGCGGATGCGCTTACCAAGGCGTAGGATGCCACTAACGGCCCGGACATGGCTGACGTGCACCATATTTTCTACAAAGGTACCTAGTTGTGTTACATGTGAGCTTGGAAAAACGCGCCGAGCTTACGATGATGACGTTTAGCCAGTGCGTGCGGAATTTTTCGGCATTAGTGCGTTTGCGCCACGAGCAGAAACTTTCGATATGCCTCTGACAAAGTTTTAGCGCAAAAAACTGTCGCGTCGCGTCGCAAAAAAAAAAAAAAAAAAAAAAGCTTAATTGCGCGTTTTAAAATTTGCCGAGCGCTCAAGTAGTCGCTTGTAGAAAATTTTTTACGATTTTGCGAAATACTGTTAAACAACGCAAGGTTATCGTCATAATCTAAACGCTGAGACAAGGGTAAATCAGATAATGGACAAGACAACTCTCATTGTCTCAAGGTTTATATTATGATGTTTCCTAACCGGCTCGCCTGCATACTTTCGCGAACGGCACAAAGCGATGCCCCGGCGTCGTCGTCGTCTCGGCGAGTTGCACAGGCGGGGGCCGCCGCCGACCGATCGCCGTCTGGCCGGGCTCGCGGCGTGACAATCGCCCGTACTCGGCCGGGAGTCCCGAAGGTGCGCGCGAAGCGTGGAAACGGCGTTATGTAACGAAAGGCAAAGGCAATCTACACAATGAACGGGCAAAAGCCGATGCAAAGGCGTGCGCGAACGTAAACAACGTAGAAAAGTGCGGCAAACTCGGTAATCCGCGGCCGAATCTTTTTTCTGCCGCTCGCAGTTTCTCTAACTTGACTTCTACTCTGTCTCGCGGGGAATGCCGACGATACGATCGGACGATCGTCGGGATACGGGTATTGCTACAGCCGAGCGCGGCGCAGTTTACCATTGCTGTCGCTGCGAAGGGCCGCCGAGTCAACCACCTGCATGGTGGATACCGGCGTTCGACGTCATCATGTGACGTAGGTGCAAGGCATGTATTGCTATATTACCCAAGCATCAAGGAGAATGCAGCGATTGGTGTTCCACGCGCCACAGGCACAGGCCTTTCCGGTATAAAAGATTCGAAGTAAATAACCAAAATAAAGCGTTGACGAACGCGCGTGCGAGGTGCCATTTGTTTTAGGTCTCTGCTTTAGAATCGTTACTACTGCTGAGGCCAGCACGTGCGGCGCGTGAAACACCGATCCCTGCATTCTCATTGATGCTTGGGTAATATAAGGAGTATTCACTGGGTGCCATATTTGTGGGTGATGTCTAGAGCGCATGCTCTGAACGAGCCCACATTAATAGGCTGCTAAACCGGCAATCTTGAGGGTGCGGAATGCACGTTACAAAAGAACTGTGGAAGCTCGCCATAAACACGCGCTCAGGAGTCGTACACACAGCTATGGCCGCCAGTGAATACTTCCACCGAGCCCGCGGAGAGCCACGGAGAATCTGCGACTGGACTAAAGATATCCTTCCTTTGGAATGACCGCAACCCATTGGGAAAGGATTGCGGGGATGCCTTTCTTTTTTCTTTACCTTCCTTTTGTTCGGTGAACTCCCGAAGGTCGCAAGCTCGTTCACGAAAACAAAGACTCCGTCGTTAGAGGGGTGGCTCAGATCTTCTAAAATCCCAGTGTATCATACTTAAGGTTTTTCGTTTTCGGGTTTTATATTTTTCTCAAATGAGGGGGGTGGGGGGGGGGGGGGGGGGCTTTTTAAGGTTAGTAATCGGGGATAAATCGGGTTTTAAAGGAATTGGTTTTCAGTTCGGGCTTTTCAGTTTATACTTATAAATATGTCTCATTAACAATAAAGCAATATTAATCAGTTTATGTAAGCTGCATATTTTTTTCGTAATTGAGTCTTTAAAACTACACAAGGCAGCATTCTAACATAATCAAAGTGCTCACTTGATCATAATTTTTTTTTTTTTTTACAAAGCTTCGTTGCTTACATAATCATCTGCGTCCGTGGCATCCCAGTCGAAAATTCTCTTTAGATTCCAATTGGAATTTCCAATTGGTACCAGTTAGGTTTTCGGACAACCAATTGGTCACTGTAATGGGAACCAAAAGGAACCATTTGAAGTTTTTTTCCAACTGGTGAGACCCATTGGCCAGTGTGCTTCCAATTGGAACCCATTAAAACCGATTGGTTACAATTAAAACCAGTTAGAATTTCAATCCGATCTA